AATCTTGACTTGAGTTGACCTTGAAAATTGTGAGTTTCTGTGGAAGAAAAGGTAAATATTAGAGAATTAGTCAAGCAGTGACCACACAGAGAGCCAGCTCTACTGTACCTCTGAAGTGGATGAGTGGAGAAGTTCTCTACAACATGTAAACAATTGTTTCTGCTTGTTAAGTTCCAGTCCCTGCAATTCTAATGAGAAGAGAAGAATGTCCCTTTTCTCCCTACTCCCCCCAGGGTCAGTATGTTGTTTCTGGTAGGTTCTTGCCCTTTTTGGCTTTTGAAATAAATTTTTCAGCCTTGTCTCGCTCTTTTTCTAGGATGCCAGAGGGGTTTTTTTTAATGTGTATGGAAAAGATCCTTTCAATTTTTAACTGTACAAAACACACATGCTAATGTTACCTAATCTTTATGTATAAACTTCCTTCATCACACTATTTCTCCACCTCCTCTTTTTAAGGTATGAGTCAATATCAAGCAATCAATTGAGGAAAATCAAGCAGTTTGAGTCTTTTTATGGAGTATTTTTGTCCTACAGTATAATATTCTGTATGCATCTACATGTCACACCAATCACTCCGGCAATTAACCACAATGGTGTTACTGCTGGCAAAACAACCCACACTTTACCCAACAGATGATCAGGCTCACTGTTGGATGTTGGCCCTCTCCCTCCCCCTTCTTGCTCTGTGTTTCTCCCATGGATATCCCAGAATACTCTGGGAGACCATATTGTCTCCTCCTTTGCTGCTGTGACCATAACGTATTTCAGGCTCACCTACATCTCCTCCCCACCACATTAACAATTTTTCTGCTTCAGATTGTGTCTTAAGGGCATCCTCACGTTTGCACTTATTTCCAAAAGCCTATATACCTGTATACTTTCCGGCCTCCACGATGTGTTTTTTTTTTAATTCTTTGTAACTCCTTTTTGAAAAAAATGGAGCTTTACCTTTGGCAGTTGTCAAAGGTATCCACTCTAATAAAATGAGGTGTCATGCAAACCCAGTCAAACTGTTGTGTGTATGGCTGGGAGGGGTTAATCTGCAGCTCTTTCATGAGGTGAAAAAGTCTGTTTGGCTGGGTGAACATAGGAAGTGGTCTGGTCTTATGATACAGTAAAGGCTGGTTTTGTTTTGGTATGATGGTTCTGGAATCAATATTCAAAGTTGTTTTTTACTCTGTGGTAAATGAGTATTCCCATGAATACTGATCAGATCTTCCCAAGAGAAAATAAAGTCTCCTAAAATTGCCCCTTGAGAGAAGGAAAAATAAATGTAGATCTCTTATCTGAGAATTAGCCTTTTCTTAATCTTGTTGAATATAAAAGTATGCATTCTGGATGAGGCCTTAGTTGCTGCCCACATATCTTAATGGACATATTTTCCACCAAAATTTCCTTTGAAATCCCTTTTGAAGCTTGTCTAATACCCAAGACCCTAGAAATAGCTTGCATGCCCCTGGCAAAAATCCTAGAAGGCTGAGATCAAAACATATACTCTAAGGAATCAGAAAAGGAAAAGTATGTTCTATGTATAACTACATCTGGATGTTGTTCTGCATCAAATTCTGATGTCCATCCCTCTGTGGTAGAACTGAAGTGCCTAATTGCCTAGGGTCTCAGCTTAAGTGCCAACATGCTAAATTAGGAACTCAGGAAATTTCAACTCCCAAAAACATACTGCATAGGCTACAAACACCCTGCAGTGGCGGTGTACACCTAGCTGTGAAAATTGCATGCATCTGGAAAGTTGATATGTGGAACACCAATGCAAGCTGAAAGCATTGGTATGTGTGTATGGACAAATGTGTGCCACAAGTACATTTGATTGTAATGTAAGTGTGTAAGCATTTGGACAAGGGCATTTATATCACTGAGCATCTCTGCTGGGATGCTTGTGGATGGAGATGAGCACAGCTGTGCCTGCAGTACTGTGTTTGCCTTCATCCTGCGAGCCCCTGAGTCTCCACTTTCCCAGCTACAAGGCCCAGAAATGTCCTTTGGAGCAGGGCAGAAGGTGGTGATGGATGTAACAGGTACCCTCCAGGTCTTCTGCTTCTCAGGACTAGAACTGCTATTCCATGGACTGCTGCAATTCTCTCTGTGTGGGTTTATCCAGGAGTGCAGAGTACAGCAACTTGGTGGTTGTTAGGAGCTGCTCCTTTTCAGCTCCTTCCTTGAGAGAACTGCACTGGCTACCTCTTTGCTACTTGGCCAGGTATAAGGCTCTGGTACTAGTATATAAACCTAAACAGCTTAGGGGCAGGATACATGAGAGAGGGCAGCTTTGCCCTCGTTCACCTGCCCCAGTCACAGAGGTCATGAGATGGCATGCCTCTAGTGGTTTCACATGACTTGATTGGAGAAGAGCATTCAATGCAGCATCTCCATTTCTCTGGGACTTCCTGCATCTGGAGGGTGGGTGGACACCAACGCTGAGGTTTTTTTAGCACCTGAAATTATCTTTATTTCAGGAAACCTTTGTTGACTAAACAGCCTTATTTTTAATTGATTCTGGTTTAATTTATTGTTTTATTCTTTTTAATTTTCTTATTGTTTACTGTTCCAGAATCTGCTTAGATGAAGAGTAGTATATAAATTCTCTAAATAATCGGGGGGGGGGCACATTTCTGATATTCAGCAGCTCTTTACACTGGGATCCGTATTGGCTTTGTTTCAGAATAACCAACCTACAATAGAATGCATTTGTTAAAGAGGAGCAGGATCACACAGAATTATCCTGTGCTGTAAGCATGTCATTGTGGATTAGGGTTAGGGTTAGGATTATGGTTCCCTTTAGATAGCAAGCTGATCAGACTTGCTCAGAAAGCTACATCCCATCAGTGGTTATTTTACTCTAGAAATGGGTACTGAGTCATTCAGTCCATTCAACCGCAATGTAAAAAAGGTGTGAAAGCAGCACATTGGAGAAGGGAGGCTGAGCATTCCCTGGAGGGGATCACTTAGGTTTTATAACTCTGCCAATATCCCTGCTTGGTCTGGGTAGCTTGGCTTTAGATGAATGCAGCAAGATGAGTACTGCAGGATGAGCTGCGGGTTTTAATAGGATCTTCTTAGTATCTGTAACTGTACTATTCACAGTTTGAAGATGAATAACCAAGTTACTGGGATTTACTCAAACTAAATAACATCTGTCGGAGCTGGAGTCAACCTGGACCATACAGCTGCAGCACCACTATTATGCAGACTTATTTGCTGAGCACTGTTAAAGAATCTCTCTCCTTATAAAAAGGACCTTTTCCTAAATTTCATTTCCACATAAGGGTTTTTTGTGGATAGCAGCGCATGGGGAAGGGAGGGGGGAGGTAACCTTTTCTCCTGTTTATTTAGACAAGCAAGGTCTCAGGAAAAAGGTTTCTCTTGCTCTGTTTCCTGAAGACTGAGTCTGGGACATTAGGTGTGCAGAGCAAGTACTGTACTTATCGCCTATGCAGGCCATGTTTATTTCAAGCCTTTCCCTATCTTTACTGGTATGCCTCATTTTCCTATCCAGTGGCACTCATAATTAAGCTTGTGCTGATTCTGGAGAAATGTGTGTTCTAAGTTACTTGTTCTATGATCAATCTGTTCCCTAAATGTGATATAGAAAGTTTATTTTTTTTTTAAATGCCCTGTTCCTCTATGCAAACTTGCAATGAAAGGCATCAAGTTTTGTTTACAAAAACAGGTAACCAATACCTTGGTATGCTTTGCGTGGGTGTGAGGAGAGCTCCATTTACTCCTCCGACTACGGGGACTCCTCAGTTTTGGCTGGCTCTGCTTCTCATTGGTAGAGGCTTGGTATGCATCACCTGGATGTTCTTCATTTCAGTAAGCTCTTCTATCATGCCTAGTCTACCTCACTTCAAAAACAGATTCCTTGCTGAAAGTCATGTTCAGCACCTCTGCAGGTGCATCCTTGGGTGCTAGGATGCTAAACTGGTGGGAACAGGGTCTTTTCTATAGCAGACATCTAAGTGTAGAACTCCTTTGGTGGTTTGAATGGTCCCATCTTTCATTTTAGTTTTAATTTAGTTTAATATGTCATGAATAAACAATCTCAAGACAGCAAGGATTTGCAGTACACCTGGACAAAGGTAGTAGGCATCTACTGGCCTAGCAATGGCATAAATGTGGGTATCTACACATGTGCAGCCTCTATGTTGTTGCTTATTCCTTGGCTCAGTACAGACCATGCACTAGGGGTTGCATATAAATTACAGTGCATTTTACACTAGCATCAAATTCTGTAGGGTTGACTCTTCACACACTTAAAAAATATGGTTCACCCATGACTGTATTAGGGACTGCAGGTGGTGCAGTGGTTTAAAACTGTTGAGCTGCTGGACTGGTTGATCAAAAAGTCAACAGTCTGAATCCGCCGGTGGGGTGAGCTCCTGAGCTTTGTCCCGGCTCCTGCCAACCTTGCAGTTCGAAAGCATATAAATGCGAGTAGATAAAAAGGTACCACTTCAGTGGGAAGGTAACAGTGTTCCGTGCACCTTGGCGTTTAGTCATTCTGGTCACACGACCACAGAAACTGTCTGCAGACAAGCTCTGGCTCCCTCAGCTAGGAAACGGAGATGAGCACCGCCCCCAAGAGTCAGACATGACTGGACTATAGTGTCATAAGGAAACCTTTACCTTTATGACAGTATTAGTGAGGCCTGCTTTATTGTAATGCAAATGGTGCCCTCTGAGCAGATGTTTAAACTGAAGTGTTGCAGTGTATGGATAGAATAATGTGACTTGTTATTCAGGTAATTCCAGGTGATACACATCTGAGAAAAAATTATTATGATATGTAGCTTGAAGAAAACGTTGCTTTCATGTTGGCTACCTATTTTCTAATTTTTCATTGTTACCCTATGACATATGTGTACTGATACAAACTCATTCATCATTCACTTTGGTCCCTGAGGCCTTTACCTGTCATTCTTACTAATATGGAAAATATGTGAAATGATCTGCCTTTTCTAATGTATTCTACCCTATCTCTATAGATAATCTGATCAAAGCCATCCTGTCAGTTACCAAAGATTACCGCCTTACTCCAGCTCTTGACAGGTGAGTAGCTATGTGTTGGGAAGCTGAAGGAGCCCATGCAGCTGCTAGCTGTTGCTAAACGCTTTTCTGACTCTGCTCTTTGTAGCTGCTTGTATTGTGAAGATCTGGGAATGATACTTCCATGCCAGTGAAAAGGATTTTTTTAGGGATACCACAATCTGCTTGATTGCTAACTTTCAAAATAATAATGGGCTACCTTTCAGTAATTCATTACAGCCTCCACCAAAGTGAGATGGCTAAACAGCAGGACTACAATTCAAATGTAGGTTTGATTGTTTTCACTAAGAGCCCCTTTACTAAACCCATTTTAATAGCTGTGGGGAAGTGATTTTGGTGATAAGACTGATTGAAATTATGGGGATTTCTTTATGCTCTAGTCTTACATGTAGATAAAATGCAAACAGAAAACATGTTCTCCAAGCTGCCAAAGATAAATTTCTTTATTTGAATGCAACTCATTTCAAAGATAAAAGCTCATGGCAGCCCATCTTTGGCTTTGAAGGAACAGTCAGACAGACAGTCACTACCCTTGTAAGCTGCCTTAACCTGTTTTCAGCATTTGCATTTTATAAGATTGTCCCTGAAGAAGGAGCTTTTCTTTCGAAATCTCTTGGGCTGAAATAAAGATGTTTTCCTTTGGACATCTTTGAGAATGTATTCTGTGTTTCATCCAGTGTAGGCTTCTCTTTTCTTTTATTCGCTAGTCTTAATGTAAAACAAAATTGCTTCAGATTTGTGATTGTGATCAAACCTAGTGGTAGAAATGAGCACCAGATTTTGATATCTTACGTTAGCTTGGCACTGAATTCTTGCTGTCTTAAAAAAAAAATCCACTGAACTCTGTAATTACCAGGAACTTGCCCTATTCAGCCAGGTGTTCTCTTCTACACTGATGCTTCTGTAGCTAATATGTGTAGATATAGAGTGTCTCACTAAAGATAATCCACATTCTGAATCGAGAAAAACATAGGAATAACTGTCAAAGCAGAATTTAATTTACTGCAACTGGAACCTTTTGACATAGATTAGATTGATGAAAGAGAAAGGGATATGAAAGGCTCAAGGAAGTGTACTTGGAGATGAGACGGAATGGTTAGCAACAGGGAATTTTACAGAACAAAATAGGTTTAACCCAGTCACTGGAATCTGACTATTTTTAATAAATGCTTTTTCAAGCCTTTCCTAGAGGTATGATTTAGGTAAGTTGTCATACAGGTTTCCATTTGCTTATCTTAAAATGGGAAGACTAACAATCCATTTTTATAGTTTGACTGAATCAAGACTGCAAACTGTTATTCTCCCCACAACTGCCCCTGAAATGACAAGATTGTATTGGGCTCTTCAAATGAAGACATTTTCCTTGTTTGTGAACAAGAAACAAGGCAGCAGCTCATTTGCATAGGAGAATTTTTAAACATGTCTTATTTTTGACGTGAAAACTTTATGCAGCTGTAACATGTGTAACATGCAGTCTACTGTTATGCTGTACTTTCTGTTCCAGTTGTGACAAACAGGTTTTTTTACACATCTTTGTATTTATGATAACCCAAGGTGTTCCTGCTCTCCTTTTCTCCTTATTGTTGGAGCTGCTGAATGTAACAAAAAATCACCTGATATTTGTACTTTCTTCCCGAAGATGTATGCAGAGAAGATTGATTTCTACAGCCTTTAAAAAGAGACTTTACAGAGTAGTGAGCAGGATGATGTGAGGACAGCAATAGATTTAAAGTAGTGGCTCATTCATTATTATATAGTCTTTTTACTCAGCCTGGCATTTTTTTCAATCCTTGGTCAGTTTACATGTGACTTACCAAATAAAGCTTAGAAGGCTGCACTTTTGCTGATGTGAGACAACTCTGAGGAATCTGCTAAAGCATAGGCAACTGATGACATTTATGTTCCACCTTTCCTCCAATGAGATCAAGGTAGCATGCATGGTTCCCCTGGTTTTACCCTCCCAACAACCCTATGAGAGGTAAGTTAGGCTCAGGGACAGTGCCTCGTCAAGGATTGCCCAGTGACTTTCATGGCTTTGTGGAGATTTGAATCCGGGTCTCTCCAGTCTTTGTCAGAGACTCTAACCACTACACTACACTGAATCCCCAGTGTAATCACTTTCAAATAAAGTAACTATTAGTGCAATAGAGACGGAAGTCATGTATATATTCCACGCCTTTGAGGAGTGGGTAAGAGAAAATGAGCTTAAATGCAAGAGGCGAGACCTAGGTCTAATGTCAAATTGAGCAGTAAAATAGAAGGGAAAGAATCTCAACCGTCCATCTCAGTGGAACTTTAAAACTGTTTTAAACCAGCCGTCTACGTGGCTTCTCAGTGTTTCTCTGAGCTTTATTGCTGGGTAATTCTCTCAGGATTTGCTGGCTGCTTGCCACATATGGTCCTCATGCTCCCTGCTTTGGAGGGTGGGTGGAGTGCTGGTGTCAGAGGGAGACGCCTATGAGTTCATAAAAATACCAGCTGCCTTTTTCTGAAGTATAGTAGCCCACTTTCTTCATGTTTCTTATTCTCACGCTTATTGACCCTTTCAACTGTCATTTTCCCCATGAGGCTTGTCAATGATATTTATCTTCAGCATGTAATTGGTTCCCGTCCCTGCATGCTTGGGAAGACTGCCACATAATCATAGCCTGCTGAGCATGGTTAAACAGCATTTGATTAAGCAGTTACTAATCTTCTGAGCAAAAGGAGTATTATCCACACTTAGTTTTGCTATTTAATGGGAGAGAGGGAAGTTTCCCCTTGCAATCATTTCATTATGAAATGAAACACTTTAGTAGTTATTTACATGCAAGGGCCAGTACAGTGAGAACAGTTCCTCCTTTGCCTGCTAGCATTGCAATAGCGGACATGTTAGTCCGTTATTGTAAATTAAGAGGTGACAGTCTCCTAATTTTTCTTCCAGTGTCTGTATCAGATCTTGACAAGTACCAGCTCTGTACTCATGTATTTTGCTATTTAGCTAACTGCTTTTCTCTCTTTTGCCTTCTCAGTCTCAGTTGTCGGCGATGCATTATTGTGGGAAATGGTGGCATTCTAGCAAACAAGTCACTGGGGTTGAAAATTGATGACTATGACATTGTGATCAGGTGAGTTGCCTGGGCAGGTGAAGGAAGGAGGTGTTATAACTCCTTTCCTATGTAAAATGCAGGTTTCTAGTGGCGTTTTCAGTAGCTGTAGTTTAAAGTATTACTCAGAAGCTTTTTGAATCTTTCAGTGCTTTATTTCGTCTTTGGTGTTATGCGTGCCTACCTTCTGCCAATCCACAAGCCACTGATCTGGTTTCATTGAAATCCTCTTAGCAGTACATTTGTCACGCTAGTACATTTTGCCCAAAACCAGTAGCAGTCAAAATGAATATTCCTGGTTGGCCCTATGCTTGATAATCCTTGGGGGCTGCTGTTGCAGAGTTATGCACAATCTATAATGCAAGGAGATTTCAGGGAAAGAGTGACCTCTGTCCTCAGAATGATTATAGGGGTAGGGTGAGGCCATCTTGCAGCTTTTGCACCAAATTTATTTAACTGTACTCCCCTGCTGGGGATTAGGGACAGCTTATAAGGCAATAGAAGGGAAAGCTTCACGGCTGTGCTAGAACACCCAGTGAATGAAACTGTTCTCCAAGTTAATTTCAAAATTAGGCTCTTGGCAAGGTGTCTACAAACTGCTGACTCTTGAGAAAAGGCATCAAGATGTACAACCTGAAGCATGTCATTTTGCAACCAATGTGACCTTCTCTTTTATGTCTTTGTATCTGAAGTTCCTTTTTGACAAGGGAGCCTGGGTTTTGACAGCTAGCTAGCTGTCAACTTATTTCCCCCCAAATAGAGTGGAGTGCAGTTTTGCACTTCCCCAAGCTGCTAGACTCTCAGAGAAAAGTGCAAAATGTGCAGGGCCCTGAGGACAGTCCAGGCAAGAAAGAAAAAGATAAGGGTCTTGCTTTGAGGAGGTTATAAATGTTGCCACCCCTCTTTTGTGAGCAAAAATTCCTATTGGCTTTGTTTTTCCTTGGCACTTCGCCTTTTCACTGCTGTCAAGAGTCAGCAAAGTAAAAGAAAAAGAAAAAAAACCACTATTTGGAACAACTCCTAGTCAATGTCTAGGGTTGATACCTGCTGTACTTTAACAACAGCCACCCTAACCACCACCACCCCAGCAGTGTACAGGATCCCTCAAGCAGAATGGGTACAAGAGTTCCACTTATCCAACCTCCTCAGCAACTTGTGTACCAGGCATACCATAATAGTATCGCATAGCCAACAATGCTAATAGCTGTTAATAGTCTTCTCCATGAATTTGTCCAATCCTCTTTTGAAGCCATCCAAATTGGGGACCATCATGACTCCCTATGGCAGTGAATTCCATAGTTCAATTATGAATTATGTGAAGAATTCCTTCCTTTTATCCATCCTGAATTGCCCATCAAGCAGCTTCATGATATGACCCTGTTTTTTTGTATTACGGGAGAGAGAGAGAAATGTCTGTGTTCTCCACACCATGCATAATTTTAAACACCTCTATCATGTCTCCAATTGTAATGGTTCCTTGTGGAGGAGTTGTTTGTATCATTTTAGTTGTACTTTTTCCAAATCAATAATGTCCTTTTTCAGGAGTGGTGACCAGAACTGTACACAATGCACAAAGTATGGCCATACCAAAGATTTGTATATAGAAGGAGGGTACGATCTGGTTAGTTGTATTTTCCTTTCCTTTCCTTTCCTGAGTATGCCTAATACCAAATTCCCCATTTTCACAGCTGTTGTGCACTGGGACAACATTTTCGTCAAATTGTCCACCACTACCTCAAGACCCTTTCTTTATCAGTTGCTGCTAGGTTAGCTCCCATCAGTCTATACTGAAGTTGGGGCTTTTTGCCCCAGTGTATATTACTTCACACTTACTTACCTTGAACTGCATTTACAGCTTCATTTTGATGCTCATTCTCATAACTTGGAGAGATCCCCTTGAAGGCAATCCCTTTTGGTTTTAAACATCCACAATAGATTGGTGTCATCAGCAAACTTGGCCACTTCAGGCTCAGTATGGGTTATTCAGGCAACAACCAACCGATAATGGTTGATTGCCAAATGGATTACTTTGATGTGAAGCTGCCCATTGACTGGGTTTGCATGACATGTCAACCCATTGTGAGTAACTAACCAGAGTGACTTTTCATGTGTGAGCCCAGATTGCTTCCCTCAGGGTGGCTTGTTGCCAAAAAACAAGCCAGCTTAATATCCCATGGCTTGATTTAGGGTTAGGGGTTAATTTAGGGATTGTTGAACACACATTGGATTATCATGTCAGCTGAACTTGGGAAAACATTCCTATTGTCGGGTGTGGGAAGTGGCAACTTTGTCACTCTTGGCAATCTTAACCATGTCATTTCCACTGACATCCATCACAATGATGCTCAAGGGGCTCTTTGGAGGAACTGTCAGTGGCTCATTATTCCTCATAATGTTGGGGCAGCACAAATGTGAGCAATTTTGATCTTAAAAAAAAAATCTATGTCTTTCAAGGCATGCAAGTGCTCACCTAAACCTGCCTGAAATATGGAGTCTTGCCTGGCCAGCATCCTGGTAGTTGTCTGCTGTCAAAGTGCAGTAGTAACATCTATGGATATTGATCAAGGGAGGCTGAACATAAGCTGATCAGTATCCATAGATCAGCTTGAATACACTTGACAGTTGGCAAATTGTGAACTGTCAATTAAAAGGCAAGATAGTAAAGGAGGTTTTACTCCAACCAGAAGGTGATATCTCTCCCTAGGTAGTATGATCTGCTAGTTTTTAAGGATTTAACTGACAGAGCCCTCTACCTTTTCCATACTTTCTCAAGCTTCTGGGTATTTCAGAAAGGGGAGATCTGCATCCTGTCTCCTTTCTGTGATCATTTTTTAAAAAATAGCAGTTTGAATGTTTTGGGAAGGGCAGATGTGTGCATTATTTCCCTGTCCAAAAATAGTGTTTAAATATGTCAGAACAGGGAGTTGGCAATGCTGGTTGGAGGACTGGGGGGATTGGGGAAGAGAATAAGCCAGAGTAAGCCTCATAGTTTGTCAAGTGCACCATGGGTTGCTTCATGAACAACCTATACTGCATAGCTTATTTACAGGGTGGGGTATGATCTTGTTCCAGTTCACCCATTCCATTTTTATTTGCACACTAATAGTGATGAAAATACTACTGTGACACCACTTCATAATTAGTGTGTGCAAAGCATTGAAGAAACTCTCTTTCCAAGACAGGGCTGAACACTGACACCTTCAGGAGGTTTAAGATGCTTTGGTTTGTAGCTTCATCTTACAGACTGATTTACCACTATCTTATGAGAGTGAGTGGTCCATGTTGCCTTAAAGAGGCAGATGTGGTACCACTTCTGAAGAACCCCTCCCTTGACTTAGAATACGTGAACAACTTCAGGCTGCTAGCAAATATTCCTTTACTGGACAAGGTTCTAGAGAAAATGGTTGCCAATCAACTCTAAGCCCTCTTGGTTGCCACTGATTATCTGGATCCATTTCAGTTGGGGTTCAGGCCTGGTTTTGGCAAGGAAACAGCCTTGGTTCCCCTGTATGACGATTTATGCCAGGAGAGAGATAGGGTCAGTGTGACCGTGTTGATACTGCTGAACCTCTTGGAGGCTTTTGATACCATCAACCATGGTATCCTTCTGGGGTGACTGACTGAATTACTCCTACTTGGAGGGCTGGTGCTTGGAGAATATTTTTCAGCCCTGTGGATTCTCCAGCATGGAGTTCCTTAGGAGCCTGTTCTGTCCCCCATGCTATTCAGCATCTACATTTAGAAATGATACTTCTATCAGTGCAGCCATCCTTTCTAAGCTTATACTTCTTAGCACCAACTGAAGGTATTTTTGTTTGTTTTCTCCTGTAGGACTTTGGCTTATTTTTCAGCAACAATTATATGTTTCTGTTTTTAAATTTCATTTGCTTTTTCTTGATTGTTTTCACCCACCCTGGGATCACATGCTCAGTGCTGGTGTATAAATTTATGTAAATAAAATATGTAAATACATATATATCCTGCAGGCTGAACTCTGCTCCAGTGAAAGGCTTTGAAAAAGATGTTGGTGGCAAGACTACAATGAGAATAACATATCCGGAAGGAGCCATTCAGAAACCAGAGCAGTACGAGAAGGATTCCCTGTTTGTACTGGCAGGGTTCAAGTGGCAAGATTTCAAGTGGCTGAAGTATATTGTTTACAAGGAGAAAGTGGTAAGATCATTTTTTCTTTGGACAAGGTCCCTGATATTTCATGTTCATTTTCTTGTAAGGACTTAGTTCCCAATGTTGTGCTTAGATTTCCTGCCCTTCTCTATTTCTGTAGAATTTGATTTTTCCATTTACTGTAGATTTTTAACAAAATGGGCTTGAGAGTACCAGTCTGATCCTAAAATAATCTGGATATGAATGCACACTAGATTCAACTGATGTAATTCAATGTAGAAATGTGGAGTTTGCTGCCACATATGAAGTAACTGAATATAATAGAGTAGAAAAGGAATCTTTTTGTAGGCTGCCTGCTAGCAAGTGGTTATTGTCAGAAATCAGGTTGATAAATTAACCCAATAAATTCAAACAAGCTAGGGGGAGAAACACCCCCAAATTCTCTCAGAATACATCTATACAACCCATCGATAATGTTTGCAATAATGAAGGATTTTTTTCCAAGCAGCCGTACTTCCTCAGGCTACTTTTAGTCTCATTTGTGTTTATCATTCTGGTCTTTGTTAGCTGCTTGAGACATGCTTTGTACTGTACACATGGAACACATTGTGTTGTATGCTTAAGTCCAAATTAACAAATGTCAGAGACAGCCACGCTCTTAGTTTGGAAGTGTCAGCATTACTGATCTATTTTATTGGAAAAGGAGCCAACAGAAAGATACTTCAGGATCACAGGACCTGCCAAGTTCAGCTCAGACACTTTTGAAATGAATAACTCAGCTTAAGAACACAGCCTTGGTTTATGCAAACAAACTATTTAGTGGGATTGATTCAAATATAATTCCTCACCTCAGAAAAATTATTTCAGCTGCAGAGGTCTCTCCTTGAGCATCTGGTTTATGTTGGTAAAAGAGCCAAGTGAGGGTAAAGTTTTCCTTGGAAATAAGTAGCTTCCGTGCTTTTCCCTTTCTCAAGAATAACCCATGCCTACTTTCTCCAGTGTCGGCCAAAATGAGTTTATGGAGAAAGTGCCTCTAGCACCAGGAGTCTCTCGTAGTGAAAGTCTGGTGGCAAGTGAACACCTGCCTGTGAGTGTAGCCATGTTCAAGACCCTGCTCATTACAAAGATGTGTTTGATACAGGGTATGCTGGAAATAATTGTATTTATTTTGTTTGTATTCTACCAAACAGCCAAGGCGCTCTGGGTGGTTAAGAAAAGTTAAAATTAAACAATTAAACAATCATGAAAGATTGAGTAGGATGCGGAAACCAACTTAGCTACCAACTTGTCTTGAAAAACTGAAAATCATCAGGCTTAAAAGTATAGCTTAGGAAATGAAAAGTAATTTCGTTGCGAATCAGAAATATCCCTTACCCAGCATAACTTGCTATAGGAATTTCAGGAACAAGAGGAGCACACAAACCATACAAGAGCTGTCTCCATTTTTAATTGTCAACCCAAGAATGTGACATTCCTGGGGCATTTGTGATGGGAAAACCCAGAAACTCTGGGTTGTTTGTGATTCCAAATAACCCATGGTTCTTTGCTGGGATAGGTCTGGATTGTTTAATCCATAAACAATCCAGATTTTTCAGGTCTGACCATCACAAAATAATTGGATGCTCTGCTTGTCCTGAAACAACCAAGAAATTGCTACCATGGTATGTGAACTGTGCCTAAAAGATTAAAGATTACAGGTTTCTTTTTTTGGAGGGGGATGAATATTATGTAAACATGCAGAATATAATGTTCAAGTAGCAACTGATTTCTTTTGGTTGTGTGATTTCTGTTTATTATGTAATTTCTTAAGGTATTACTTTATTAACAGTTTTACTTAGTCACATACATAGATTATGTGCTACCATCTGGTAATAGTTAACCCAACAATATACAATCATGTACCTCAGAACCAATGAATGATTCAAAAACCTTAAATTAATCCACTTTGCCCTTTGTCAAAGAGGATTTAGATGATTTAGACACTTAAGAATGAGTCATAGCCACAGGGAAGAAAGGGAGAGATAGAAGGCAGAGCTGTGAAGCTGACTCCTTCCAGAAGTTGTTATAAACACATGGACCTGGTTCACCTGTAACAACAATCCAAAATATAAGTTGATGAAAGGGGCTTGTTATGTGCAAACTTAGTATTATGGATTAAGTACCGTTTGTTAACCACAAACAATCCATGAAGAGAACCCATGTCGTTAAGTTGTGCACTCAGAGTTGTTTAAACCATGGATTCTTATTGTGTGTGAATCCAGAACTGCAGGTCACTCATGAGTTGTTCTGCCAGACTATAGATGCTGTGGCAAGAATATTAAAAATAAAAACCCAACTCCTCTGTGCACTAGTACTATAGAGCTGCAAAGGCATTTCAGATACAGGGAGAGAGGGGCAAAGAGCATGGGAACTAAACTAACCAGGAGTTGAAAAAATAACCTGCAGTTTGTCCTGTTGTTCAACAGCCAGATCATAGATTAAGCATGGTTAGGGAAATCTCATAGGTTGATCCCATTGATTAAACCATAGGTATCGTTATATACAAACCACATTGGAAGAGAAATTCCCCTTTCACTCCCCCTCCTTCACCTTTCCAAGGCAAACTGAGAGTCACATTTAGAGAAGAGTCATGATATGTGTCATGGAGCCTGGGAAAGATCCACTAATCCTTTTTTAAAGCAATTGCAAAACTGCTGCTGGGATGGGAGCTAGCTCTTCGGGGGGATCATGTAGCCTGCCTGAATTTCTTTTATTCTGCCCAAATAAGAAGCTTCCCACATCCTAAATATGGAAGGAAGTAATTAGAAAGTATTTTCTGTGTAGATGTTTTGTCTAGTTTAGACAACTCCTAATTCATCTGGAAACCCTGCTACTCCCCACAAGCATTTGGGAACTGTACTTTTGTTTGCTTTTTTCCCACTTTATTAATTTGCTTCTTTTATAAGTACTATTAGTTCATAATCTAAGTTCTAAGTACGTTAGTATGAGTGCTTTCTTGGACATGCTCATTTTGTATAGATTCTAGTCTCTCTTTTCTGCTCTGAGGGAATGAGGTAGTTTCCATACACAGTAGCTTGTGGCAAATATCTAAACCCCCAGCATATCTATTAATTACAGTCTAGCTCATTGTGGTGCTTTAGTCACCAAGCTGAATTATGTGTATCATTAAATATGCCGTGTTTCTCTGTCTCTCCTGTTTTATTTTGATTCTGTAACTGGCTTGTGAAGAAAAATATCCCCCTCTCCACTTTTTTCACTCACAAGTACAAAAATTACACAGAGAAAGCAATATTTATCAAGTGAGATATATTTACCTTGAAAAGAAATTATTTTCACAAGAAAAGAATATATAGCTTTATTTATCTATTTATTTTCTATACCATCCGATAGCAAATGCTCTTTCGGCAGTTTGCAACACATAAAATACAATATAAAATAGAAACAGTAATAAAAACACCATAAAAAGACTACCATGCAAAATTTAAAACCAAACTTAAAGCACATATAAAATGCTGCAATAGCTTAAATCATAAGATTGACCCTTTTTAGCAGCTAGTAAAGCTCCAGTGTAATAGTAACTAATTAAATGTCCTGTAGAAGAAGACAGCCTTAACACAGCACCAAAAATATTTCAACTTTGGAGCCAGGCAGGCTTCAGTGGGGAGCTGTTCCATCACTGGGGAGCCACCACTTAAAAGGCCCCTTTCCTTGTTGCTTCCAATCTAGCCTCCTTTGGTGGTGGCAAGTGGAGGTGGTCCCAGATTGTGACTACAGTGTCCAAGTTGATTATGGTTGGGAGAGGCATTCTGCCAGGTATTATGGTCCCAAGCTGTGTGTACATATTACTTTGTACATAATTACTGTAAATATATTTATTTTCCTATCTTAGTAAAATTATTCCACACACACACAGCCCACCACCATTTTCCAGATGCTGGATTTTATTGATTGATAGATTGATTAGATTTCTGACCCACCCCATTAGCCGTATGGTTAAAGGTTTAAAGAGAAAGGTTAATATTAAGAGCATCTCTTAACTCCATTTTAATAAAAAATAGTTTGTTACAAGGCTAGGCAACCAGCAGATCACAAACTTGATCATGCACATTGAGCAACTTTATTTAGCCCTGAAAGTGTTGACCAAGTTTTAATGAAGGTGAAATCAAAATGTTGCCCACACTTTAATGTTAATTTTCTTCATTAGGCTTTAATTTTCTTCTTTTAATTTTCTTCATCAGGTATCAACCCAGCCGGTAGATACCTGAAGACAGCCAACAAAATTTTGTAATGAAGTTTTAAATATTTTTTTAAAAAAGTGTTAGTATCCTTCCTGCTCCCAGACGTATCTACATTCTTTTCTCTGGATAAAATGCTTCTTAAGTTAACTGTCAGTTTGCATTTGAAAAAACGTTTAGGTTTTCTGATCAAGTTAACTTATTTGGGAAGCCTTTTTCTCTCCCTCCTATGACCTCTTTCCACAGAGTAGAATTCAGTCTTGTATATGCACTGTGATTCAGACCTGCATCAAATTATGTTTTTAACTGTGTAATACCATAGGAGACTAGCTGCCTTCGGTGCCATTTCTCTTGGGAGAAAGGTGGGATACAAATCAAATAAATAAATAATTAAATGCTGGAAAACTGTTTTCCATCATGTGGTTCACCTTAATCTTCCAAAATCCTCTCGACTATGTACTTGGCTTTCAAACCACTGCTAGTTAGCTGTATACTCAAATCCCTGCCTTTTTTGACTGTAACAGATACCTCATATATCATAACTACAATATACTAAGAACATCCCAAGACTGTATATTTGTGTCTTGGGCAACAAAAAGCATAAGAAGCATGCTTAGCAAGTTAAAGACAAATATTCCTGTTAGAAGTTACCTTAAGTCATGGTGCAGTTATCTTGACAGTGAAATTCTGCAGAAAGCTTACAGCGTAGTAGGCTGATCAGGATGTAATTTTTTTAAAGGTATGAACCAAAATTATGACCAATCAAATTGCACAAAAAACTCCTGTCTTTTGAGGCTTCCAAAACTCTTAATC